AGGAAAAAGTTCTCACAGTTCTCACCTATGTGAGGTGATGTTAACTAATTGTAGTAATCATTTCACAATATACACATATATCAAATCACTATTTTGCACACTTTAAACTTATGTCATATGTCAATTACATCTCAATAAAACTGGAAAAATTAAATAAATAAAAATAACAAAGATATATAAAATAAAATAATATGCCACAGGCTCAGAAAGCAGTGCCCAAGGAGAACTGATGGTAGCAAATTTGGAATAAAAAACAAAGAAACATTGTATTAAAGTTTCTAGCCAGTGCAGTGAGGCAAGAAAATGAAATAAAGTCACTCAAATTAGAAAGGAAAAAATAAAGCTATTTTTATTTATATGATTTTCTAAGTAGAAAATTCAATGGAATCTACAAAAAAGCTACTAGAACTAATAAGTAAGAGTAGCAAGGTTGCCAGCTCGATATAAAAAAGGTAATTGTATTTCTATACACAAGCAAGGAGCAGTTGGAAACTGAAATTTAAAAATCAATACCATTACTATTGCATCAAAAATAATGGAATATTTAAGAATAAATCTGACAAAAGATTTGAAAAATCTATACCCTGAAAACTACAAGACACAGAAATTAACGAAGACCAAAATAAAAGGAGAGATACATCAACCTCATGGATCAGAAGAATCAATATTGGTATTACGTAAGTTGTTCCCAAATTGACCAATCAGATTCCATGCAATCCCAATCAAAATTACAATAGACATTTTTGTATAAATTGACAAATTGGTTTTAAAAATCGTATGGAAATTCAGAGGGCCTAAAGTAGTTAAAATGATTATGAAAATGGATGAAGCTGAAGGACTAACCCTACCTGATTTCTGACTTATTAGTATTCAAGATAGTGTGGTATTGGAGTAAAAATAGACAAATACATCATTGGAACAGAAGAGACAGGCCCACCCGTAAACGGAAAATAGATTTTCAACAGAGGTGAGAGACAACTCGGTGGAGAAAAGATAGTCTTTTCAACAAATGGTGCTGGAACACCTGGATGTCCATATGCAAAAGTGTTTACTTTGACCCATACCTTTTTCATATACAAAACTCAACTCAAAATGGACCCTACACATAAATTTTAAAAAGCTATAAACTTCTAGAAGACAGGAGAAATTCTTTGTGACCATGGAGACAAAGATTTCTTAAATATGATACCAAAAGCACAGTCATAAATGGCAAAATTGATAAATGGGATATCATCAAAATTAAAAGTGTTTACTCTCTGAAGGACACTGTTAAGAATAACAACACTAACATGTAGAAAATGGGGGGAAATATTTGCAAATCACATATCTGATAAAGGACTTGTATCCAGAAATATAAAGAGCTCTCAAATGTTAATCATAAGAAAAGGAAAAGTGCACTTAAATATGGGCAAAAGGTTTGAAAACATATTTCACCAAAGAAGATTTACTAATGGCTATTGACCACATTAAAAAAATTAAACATCAACGTCATTTCTCATCAGAGAAATGCAAACTAATACCACAATGAGGTATCACTACATCCTCATTAGAAGGTTAGCATTATAAAGAATGGCCATACCAAGTGTTGGCAAGGATGTGGAGGATGTAGAAGTGTTAAGTGATACAACCACTTTGGAAAACAGTTTGGATATTTCATGAAAAGTTAATCATACACACCTTATGATCCAACCGTTCTACACTTAGTTACCTAAGAGAATTGAAAGTATGTATTCATACAAAGACTTTCCGTGAATGTTCATAGCAACTTTATTTAAAAGAGCCAAAAACTAGAAACAACCAAAACGTATATCAATTGGTGAATGAATGATCAAACTATAGTATATCCATACAACGGAAGAGTACTCAGCAATAATAAGGAATAAGCTATTGCTATCCACAACAACATTAGTGAACCTCAAAATAATCATGCTAAGTGAAAGAAGTTACACATAATTCCATTTATATGGAATTTACATAAAATTCTAACACATTCTAACTAATGTATAGTGAAAAAAGCAGATAAGTGGTTGCCTGGGTTTATGAAGGTGTGGGTGGTGGGAAGGGGCACATAGGAGAAAGTACGATGGGGTAAAAGAAACTTTGGGGAGTGATCATATGTTCATTATCTTCATTGTGGTGATGGTTTCCTGGGTGTATTCACATACCAAAACTTATCAAATTGTACATTTTAACTCTGTGCAGTTTATTGCATGTCAATTGCACCTCAATGAAGCTGTTTTTTAAAAGTTTTAGCATATCAGGAGGCATTTCGGGCACATCCCTTGAGTAATACCTTATGAAACAGACAGATGAATAGTTAGATGCAGACAATAGATAGATAGGTGATAGATAGATAGATAGATAGATAATTGATAGATGATGATGGTGATGTTAGACGATAGATAGACAAGTAGAACAAAATAATAAATTATATTTTAAAATGCTATTAAATGGTAGGAAATAACAATGATCAGTGATTGGAAAGGAATCTTGAATTCTTAGGCAATCCCTGAAGATTGAAAAAGAAGTCATGAAGACAAGTTTGGTGACTGCTTGGAGACCCCATACCGAAGAACAACTTATCAGAGGAAGCTTTGACTCCAGAGGTGCTCAGAAGGGCTTCAGAGAGCAATAGTTGACTTGAGCCAATCCTGCTCTTTCTGAGGGAGCTGCAAATTCCTCCAGATCCTCCTCATTGCCCTACAAGAGGGCAAAGGTGAGTTCCATGAACTTCACATCTATGTCAGGCCATAAGACGCATCCGTGCCAGCCCAGACCTACCAAACATGGAGACGAAGAATGCAACTGAAATTCAGACACCTCTGAAGCAAATTGCAGCTGAGTACTGGGGCCTGGGAGAAAGAGAGGGAAAAATACAGAAGAGTGGATATCGTTTAAGAGTACATACTTAGGAGACTTGAGATCAGATCCTCCCTGCTCTGCCACTTTCCTGATAGATAACTTGGGCAAGTTACTTAACCTCTTTGGGTCTTACTTCTTCCTTTTGCTAAATGAGGTCAATAATAATTACTTTCTATTAAACTTGTCCGGAGGACTAAAATAAATGATTCGTGCGAAGCTTTTAGCATAGTTCTAGCATTAGTTTAAGTGTGCATTTAAGTGTACACTAGTTTAAGTTACACTTAAAAACTATTGGTGAGCTCTTTACTTCTGGAGGAATCTGGATCCAGTTCGATTCTTGGCCCAAGAGAGACTGCTCCAGACAGTTCTGACATGAAGCTGTCCACTGATCAGCTGGGGTCCCTCTACCCATTGGTGCACATGGGCTGTGGAACCTGGGACAATCACCTTAATAACACTATTTATGAATTAATGTTTATGTCTATAGAGCTTCACCCAGCGCCTGCCCATCCTCCACGTGCCCCAAGTTGTTGTGAGAACAAATGAAATACACAGAAAATCTGGCCCAGAGTAAATGCTCAGTAGTTGAGGAAGCAGGCTGATAGGCCCTAACTAATCTGGAGCGATAATAAGCTAAGAAGTGACCGACTGGGCACTTTAGTGCCAAATCCTGAGCTCTTTCTACAATACAAGTGTCTCTTAGCACCTACTACAGAAGCTGATGTGTCAGGGAACATTGCATGGCGGCTAATATTTGAAAAATGGCCTCCAAGATACACTCTGTGGAGTTGCTTCTCCCCACTCTGCAGTTTTTAAGTGATTTGTGCAAAAACACGAACAAAGGCTGATGTGTGAATCTTGGCCGCCAGTGCAATTTTTCCCAACATCTTTTCCTAAACATGTCTATACAACTCTTTTCTAAAATTTGTGTTGTATGTCCTTAAAATGAAAGTTCCTAGAGTTCAGAGCTGCTATCTATTTAACCTATGCACTTCATTTTCTCATACACAACGACACGCACACACACACACGTTGACACATGCTGCCACATTACACAGCGCTAGCACATTGGGGCTATAAAATAAATGTTGTTGACTTCCTTCTACCTCTACAGATTGGACTTTTATCCTTTCTTTACTAGGTAAAAGGAAAAAGAACAGTGCAATAAGAATAAATTCCAGATTGAGTGATTATATAGGGTGGGCAGTAGATCATAGCTGGAGACTGTGTGCATGGTAATGTAAAGCTCAGGCTTGGCTGGGGTGGGAGCCCCACTGTAGCATTTGCTTGATGACCTTGGCACAATTAACTCGAAGTCTCAGATGCCTTATCTACCTGTAAGTCAGGAATAATAACAAAACGCCTCACAGTGTTGTGGTGAGAATTAAATGAGGTAATTCCTGGAGCAAACATTACAATTCCTGGAAGGTGATAACTGCCTAATAAATCTTAGTTGCTATCTATCATCATCGTCATCACTAATTATTATTATTCAGAACCCACAGAAACAAGAAGAAGAGAAAAAAATGAAAACATAAACGACGGGATTCAGAAAATCCCTTTGGATCAAAACAGTAGGTGCGTTGGTAGATAGCTTTTTGATTTGTTTCACTCATCAACTGTGCCAGGCAATGCCTTACATTCCACAGATGCTAGTGAATAAGACCGACATGGTCCCTGCCCATTCATGCACTGAATCCTCAAAAATATAGTCCTATAAATTACGTGAACTCACTTGGCAGATAAGAAAACTGAGGACTGAAGAAGCTGGAGCTTAAAGGTCGACACTGGAACCTAAGATTCATTCATTCATTCAACAAATATTTCTTGAGAGCCTTCTGCATGTTAGGTGCTTTGCTAAGCACTGGGTGTACAGAAATGAATCTCACAGATAAAAGTGCTTCTTTTCATGTAGTTTACTTTCTAGCTGTGAGGACTAGATAATATCAAATATGTAAAACATAGTATATCAGATCATGACAAGTATTACATGATATAGTAAATCAGAAAGTGGAGGTGGGAAGTTTAGGTGCAATATTAATAAGGTTTTCTGGGAAAGTCTTCCCAAGTAGGTGACATTTGAGGAAAGACAGAAAGGATGGAGAAACTAAGGGATGACATATTCGATGAGGGTCCATCTAGGGCCTTCCAGAAGCCTTTGATCGGCTCAGGGCTTTCACAACAGACTCCTTGACCTCCTTATTCCTCAGGCTGTAGATGACAGGGTTCAATATTGGGGTCACCACTGTGTAGAGCACGGACACCACTTGGTCTGCCTCCGAGGACTGGCCTGAATTATCTCGCAGGCACATAAAGATGAGGGTCCCAAAGAAGAGAGCAAGAGCAGTGAGGTGGGAGGCGCAGGTAGAGAAGGTCTTGGCCTGGCCCCAGGCAGAGCAGACCTGCATGATGGCCACGATGACAAACAGGTAGGAAACCAAGATGACCAATATACAAGCAGGCATGACAAAAACGGCAGACACAATAATCCCCACCTCCTGGGTGTAGCTTTCCCCACAAGCGAGTTTTAACAGAGCGGGTAGGTCACAGAAAATAAAGTTGATCTCACTGTTTCCACAAAAGAAGAGAGCGAAGGCAGTGACCGTTCAAATAAAGGCGCTGGAAAAACCAGCAACATAAGCCCCAGCTGCCAAACCCAAGCGGGCCTTCTCGGTCATGATGGTGACATAAAGCAGCGGTCGGCACACGGCCACGTAGCGGTCACAGGCCATGATCGCCAAGAGGTAGCAGTCAATGGAAGAAAAGAAGGTGAAGAGGAAGAACTGGGCGGCACAGCGCGCTTTGGAGATGACTCTGCCGCGTTCCAGCAGCACTGCCAGCATCTGGGGGACGATGGCGGAGGACTAGCCGATGTCCACGAAGGAAAGGTGGCTGAGGAAGAAGTATGGGGGTGTGGAGACGGCGATCTTTGCGGGTCAGGAAGATCGTTCCCGAGTTCCCCAGCAGAGTGAGTATATAGAAAGACAGAAAGAGAGGAGAACAGTGCAAAAAAAGAACAGTGCAATAACAATAAATTCCAGATTGAGTGATTATATAGGGTGGGCAGTAGATCATAGCTGGAGACTGTGTGCGTGGTAATGAAAAGCTCAGGCTTGGCTGGGGTGGGAGCCCCACTGTAGCATTTGCTTGATGACCTTGGCACAATTAACTCGAAGTCTCAGATGACTCATCTACCTATAAGTCAGGAATAATAACAAAACATCCCTCGGGATGTTCAGCGAACACAGTAAGGAAGAACTCTGTCACTACGGTGTAATTCCTCCCAGCCTTCCATTCAGCAGTTGACCTGTGAAAGCTGAGACGAAAGCGCCCGATAACCAGATCCCTGAAGACAAGTTCAATTCATTTTATATTTTTAACCAATAATTTCATTATGACAATTTAATAAGGATACTTAACTTGTTTTACCATGGAAACCGAACACAATTTCTCCCACAATTTAGTCAGGGTACCCTTAGGCAAAACTGTATCTAGTCTCCCTCAATATCTTGTTTTTCCCTACTCTCCCCTTGTTCTTATTTTGTGGTATTCATCCTCCTCAGGAACTTAAAGCTCTTAGGTTTTCTGTTCTTTTGTTTTCTCTTATTTATTTATTTAGAAACCGACACAACACCGTAAAGCAACTATACTCCAATAAAAATTTTAAAACAAAATAGAAAACAAAAGATCGAGTCATTTTAAAATAAAAGACTTTAAACTGAGTGTCTGATAGGTAGGCATTCGACTTCAACAAACTTCGCAGCCTAATGTGGAAATGGACGAATATAGGGCTCAATACAATATAAGATAAAAAGTGATGAATGCTTCCATTATACTAAGAATGGAGAGCAAGTGATTCTCTAACTTATGTCAGCTCTTGTATTTGCAACTCTGTCCCCAATTAGCTGTTTGATCTTGCACAAGGCACTTAACCTCTCTGAACCTCAATTTCCTCTTCTGCCAAAAGGGGATCATAATATCTGTCCTGCTTAAAAGATAAGGTTAATGCATAGATTAAAACAGATGCAAAAGTGCATTGGAAAGCTAAAAGTACTCTACGTATATATGGTGACTATTTAAAATTTTGAATGAACATTTTAAGGAAGGGTAATTTATATTCTATGAACCAAAAAAGCACAAACCAAAAAAAAAAAAATCCATTAGGAATCAGCAACGGGCTCTGCTTACAGGAATATTTCTATTTTCAGTCTAACAACATGCATATTTAACAAATAGCTGTTATCCTAGTTCGAGTTGGCTGGCTTATGAAGGGTTTTCTGTTTGGTTTTTGTTAAGTACTCGCATTAACCTTGGAATCAAAAGAGCGAACATAAGCTCCTTTTAGCACCTCACAAAGCTCCATAAGCATTGTTTGGTTGTTCTCATAGTCCTTAATAAAAGCAGCAGTTTGATAATAAACAGCCCCCAAATCTGAAAGCGGAAGTATTTCCGCAGTCTGGTGTTGTCTAAGCACTGTTGGAGGAATCTGGGTTAATGGAGTTGAAGGTTCTTAACAGAGTTCTAGAAAAGAGCTGTAAAGGAGGGCTTTGGTCATATTTGATTACCTGATACACCAGCAGCCAGGCCAATACTAAGCTGACCCATTAGAAATAATAACAAAGAAGAGAAATTAGATTTGGAAGCATTAGCGGGACACGAACCATCCTCACCTGAATTCCACTTCACTAGTGTCTTCTTCCCTTGTTTAGTGTTTCCTCTGCCTGTGGCCTGCCGATCCAGAGGAGACCTAGGCCGTAGCTCACTCACAGTAGATGTGTGACCCTGGGCAAGTCACTTTTCTTCTCTGAACTTCAATTACATTGTCTTTGCTCCCTTTAAATAAACAACAATGCAGCGTGAGTCCACAATCATAGCAACTTGGTTGATAGGGGGTTGCTTCCAGAACCACTATGTCTTATTCTCACTTCATGGAGTTCCTCTCACCCTTGACAGAACAATACATCCCTGATGTTAGAATTGCCCAGGACTTTTTGCAGACTCAGCCCAAGAGAGCAGGGCTTGTGGACCAGCCTCTCTCCCTGAGTTTCTGATCCTGCACTAGACCTTCCTGGTGGTGCTTTTTGTATTCTCTGTCCCAGCATCATGCCATAATTGGTTCCTGAGTTAAGTCTCCAGGGAAAGACAATTTATCTTCCTAACAAGGTGTCTAATATCTTTGAAGATTTCTCTTTAATTTCAAACTCTCAAAGCCCCATCCTACATCCTGCCACCAGGGTCTGATGAGGCTGGTTCCTAGTCTTGCCTCATTCCTATTTTGTACCAAAAGGAATATATTCCTTGGAAGATTTCCTAAGTTCTTTCTATAGGGTAAAAAGTATATCGAGTCTCATATGCAATGTTGGGGCTTCGTGGCCACAGTACCTAGAGGCTTTTCAATTAGCCCTTCCTTCTTAAATAAAAGTCTTTAACTGTCTGCTTAGAATTTAATCAGAAAGAGGCATTAAACTGTCTCCTTAGACCTGACAACCCAGTCTCTCAGTAGTCCCTGTCAATTCGTTGTGTTGTCCCCATCTTCTGGCAGATTCCAAGAGAGCAAATAACTCTGCAGTATACTACTCTTATTCAAACAGACCCTATATTGTCTTTTTCAATCAGGAGGAAACTTTTGCACTAATCCCAAGCTTTCTAACTACTAGCTTAATTTTTCCCACCACATTTTTCCCGTAACACAATTGACACAGGAACTATTTATTAACCATCCCCCTTTTAGAGGATCTATACATTTTCAGCTGGGGTTTTAATAACCAGACCAACCATCATTAAAGGGATCAAACATTTCTTATGAAAATTATAATATGTATGTTAAAGCATCCTGTCTTCTAGAATAAATATCATGTCTTCGAAGGTCTAAATGTTTTACTTTATTATAAGTGATCTTAAACTTAATATTCTTTGGCTGCCTTCACCCTGATTTTCCATGTTTCGCTTATCTGCTTCTTCTGATTTAAAATCCTGTTACTGGAATTCCAGGTGTGACACATCATTTTTGGCTGGCTGAGTTTGGAATCATCCTCTGTTTGTAAGATACTGTCACCACCTTTATACCCTCCCATGATGGTTTATATCATTCATACTCCTGGGATCTTGTTTTTCTGGTAATCCAAGGGACAGGTAGAAAAGGAGTTTGAGTTCTAAGATAGCGATCAGAGGAAAAACAGAAAATGACGAGTAGGTGGGGCCTGTTCCCTCCCAGTACCTTGGATTTGAATGAGGTACCTACAGTCAGAGAAGTGAAGAGCAAGACCCAGTGGACTCCTGGGAAGCTTTGGATGCAGGCTGAGCTGTTGCAGAGCCCAGGGACCCAGTGCAGACTAGGAATCCCTCCTGCCCACTCCTGCATGGAACACAGCAATGCTCTGCCTCCCCAAGGTCAAAAGCTTTAAGAACATAAAGAGTTGACGTCTATGATACAGATTCTGCAAATACCATTATGGGCAGAGGAAATGGTATAAATCACTAAGTGGATTCTGAGGCAAAGGATGTGATAAATGGAACATGTGGGGAAGAAGAAAGAACAGGGCATATTTCCAGTGGTGACAGCAATTGACAGACATATTATTGTGAGCACGTAGAGATTCACGTGAGGCATCCCTGGAAACGACTACAGGAGTTTGAAGAATACTCTGAGCAGGGTCAGCTTTATTAACTGGACCATCAAACTACTACCTTAATTTAATCATTAAAAATAAACATAACCTGCATTTCTCTAATAATTAGTGATATTGTGCATCTTTTCATGTGCCCGTTAGCCATCTGTATATCTTCTTTGAAAAAATGCCTATTCAGATTTTTTGCCCATTTTTTGATTGGGTTGTTTTTTTGACATGGAGTTATATGAGCTTTGTATATTTTGGATATTAACCCCTTATCCATAATATCATTTGCAACTATTTTCTCCCATTCTATAGGTTGTCTTTTCATTTTTGTCAATGGTTTCCTTTGCTGTGCAAAAGTTTTAAGTTTAATTAGGTCCCATTTGTTTATATTTCTTTTTTTTCTTTTGCCTTAGGAGACTGATCCAAGAAAATACTTCTGTGCTTTATGTCAAAGAGTGTTCTGCCTATGTTCTCTTCTTGGAGTTTTATGGTTTCTGTTCTTACACTTAGGTCTTTAAATCATTTTGAGTTTACTTCAACAATGAGCTATCACCTCACATCTGTCAGAATGGCTTTCATTAAAAAGTCTACAAATAACAAATGTTAGAGAGGATGTGGAGAAAAGGGAACCCTTGTACACAGTTGGTGCAGCCATTATGGAAAACAATATGGAGGTTCCTCAAAAAACTAAAAATACAGCCAACATATGATCCAGCAATTCCACTCCTGGGTATACGTATCCAGAAAAAATGGAAACTCTCAGAAAGAAGCATGCACCCCAGTGTTCATAGCAGCACTGTTTATAATAGCCAAGACATGGAAGCAACCCAAGTGCCCATAAAAAGATAGTTGGATTAAGAAGATATTCATATATATATATATATATATATATATATATAGGCACATAATTGTATATAATGGAATATTACTTAGCCATAAAAAAGAAATACTGCCATTTGCAGCAACATGGATGGACCTATTATGCTTAGTGAAATAAGTCAGACGGAGAAAGACAAATAGACTGTGATATCACTTATATGTGGAATCTAAAAAAAAATACAAATGAATGTATATGCAAAACAGAAGCAGACTCACAGACACAGAAAACAAACCTATGTTTACCAAAGGGGGAGGGACAAATTAGGAGTATGGGATTAACATATTCAAACTACTATGTATATAGCTCAGGGAGATCAGTTCGGTGCTTTGTGACCAACTAGAGGGGTGGGATAGGGAGGGTGGGAGGGAGACACAAGAGGGAGGAGATATGGGGATATATGTATATGTATAGCTGATTCACTCTGTTATAAAGCAGAAATTAACACACCATTGTAAAGTAATTATACTCCAATAAAGATGTTAAAAAACAAACAAACAAGAAAACGAAAAAACTACTATGTATAAGACAGTAAGCACCAAGGATATACTGTATAGTACAGGGAATTACAGCCATTAATCTTGTAATAAACTATACTGGAGTATAATCTACAAAAACACTGAATCACTATGCTGTACACCTGACACTAACACAATATTGCAAATCAACTATAGTTCAATTTTAAAACATTTGAAAAAAATAAACATAATCTAAATATTGAATCCTAATTGATGACATCATTCTACATTATATAGTGTAGAAGAGTACTAATACTGATGTCTGCAACTTACTTTGAAATGCGTCAAAAAATAAGGTGGATTTGTGGATGAACTGATGGATGTATAAATGAATAGATTGATTATAAATATGTGATAAAACAAAAACATCTAAGTATTGGGTATAGGGAGTTCATTATGCATTATTTTCAACATTTCTGTACGATGGAAATCTTTCATAGAAAATTTGCAAAAAAAAAATGTAGTCTTGTAGTAAGGCGTGCCACATCTGAATTACACAGGATTAACTTCAGATTCTTTTGTCACTTGTCCTGAGAGCTAGAAATCTCACTCCAATGTCTTCTCAGGCTGCCTCTTTCTTTCCTTGCTTTCTGTCCCTGGAACTAAAAGTTCTGGTTCTTTTTTAATGCCTTATGCCATGACGTATTCATCTAAACATTGAGCGTGCTATAAATAATGAGTTCCCAGAATGCTGGCACTGCAGAGATGATTCTCAGGAATTTCCAAGGTTGAACAAGGTTGGATGGCTAAGACAACCTGGCTCTGTTGAGAATTTTCCTCAGAGCCTCCTTCACTTCCTTGCTCCTCAGGCTGTAGATGAGAGGGTTCAACATGGAGATCACTGTTATGTAAAACACAGACACCACCCAGTCCTCCTCCGAGGACTGGCCAGAGTTATGTCTCAGATACATGAAGATGAGGGTCCCAAAGAAGAGTGACACTGCAGTGAGGTGAGAGGCACACGTCCAGAAAGTCTTGGCCCGGCCTGCTGCAGAGGGAATCCTCATAACGGCCAAGGTGATGAGCAGGTAGGACACCAAAATCACCACCATGCAGGCAGGGATGACAAAAATGGCAAACACAATAATTACCACTTCCTGAGTGTAGCTGCCCCCACAGGTTATCTTTAAGAGAGGAGGGAGGTCACATAAAATGAAGTCAATCTCATTGGTTCCACAAAAGGAGAGCGTGAAAGCTGAGACCTTCCACACCAAGGCCCTGAAGACACCAGCAACGTAACCCCCCCCTCAACACACACACACACACACACACACAACCCAAACGGGCCTTCCTCCTCATGACAGTGACATAAAGCAGGGGTCAGCACACGGCCACATAGCGGTCATAGGCCATGAGGGCCAGGAGGTAGCAGTCAATGGAGCCAAAGAAAGTGAAGAGAAAGAACTGGACAGCACAGGGTGTGTAGGATAAAGTGGTCCTGTGCTCCAGCAGCACAGCCATCGTCAGAGGCACAGTGACAAACGAGTAGCAGATGCCCATGAACGAGAGGTGACTCAGAAGGAAGTACGTGGGGCTGTGGAGTCGGAGACCCACGCGGATCAGGATAATCATGCCCAAGTTCCCCAAAGGGGTGATGAGATAGATAAATAGAAACAGGAGGAAGAGAGGTAGTGCCCATTCAGGAGAGTCAATGAATGCCATGAGGAGGAATTTGGTCACCAAGGTGAGGTTCTTCTCCGCCATGAAGCCAGAGGCACCTGAGAAGGCTAGGATGAGAAGCAAGTTAGGGAACTATAAATAGGAATTAACTGTATTTCTAGGTTACATGTATTGAACAAGTGCTATGGACAAAATATGCCAGGGTCTACGTGGGGCTTCAGAGATGCCTGGTCTTAACTCCTACTTCTAAGGGAGTTCTGTGACATGTCAAGAAAGCTGATGTGGGTAAACATTTTCAGAATAGGAGTGCTTTTTCTCCCACTTTTTATGGCTATCTAGCTGTGTGAGCCCCTGCAGTCAGATAACCACAGAACCAAAGTTTCATTATCGCTCCAATAGGGGCTGATACATGGGGTCCTCTCTACCATGGAAATATCCACCTCAGGACTCTGTCCCTTTTTCTCTATGACCATACCTCTTCCCTTATTTCAAACCCTCTTCATCTCTTGCCTGGATCAAAACAAGAGCCATATAGCTAACAGCTCCCGCCACCCTCAGACTTGCTTCTTGCCAACTTTTTTTTTTTTAACATTTTATTTTTGTTGTTGTTGTTTATATGTGCTTTTTATTGTGAGTTTTTAAATTTTTATTTATTTTTTTATACAGCAGGTTCTTATTAGTTACCTATTTTATACATATTAGGATATATACGTCAATCCCAATCTCCCAATTCATCCCACCACCAACCCCCCCCCCCCCCCCGCCCCGCTTTGCCCCTTGGTGTCCATACGTTTGTTCTCCTCACTGTGACCAGAGAGATATTTCTAAGACTTTCTCATCCCTGTTAAAAATCCAGTCATGGCACCCCATCAAGGATAGGATATTCTTTAGACTCCTCGGCGTGTTGGGGAAAGCCCTCCAGGGGGTCTCCCCCACTTACTTCCTCGTGTCCCTTTCTTACGCCTCACTGCTTGCACCTCCAGCCACGCTTCTCTCCAGCCACCTGAATTGTTTACAGCTTTTCTAATGCCCCACATTCATTCACATCTCTGTGCTTTCCACAGGCCACCCCTTCTGCTGAAACACCTTGTCTTTCCCATCCTCAGGGTCCTGCCCAACTCCTATACCACCTTCAGACCTCAGCTCAGATCCTACATCCCACAAGAAGTCTCCCTTGAGTCTGTCTTCCCTGGTCAGGGTATGTGCCTCTGGAGCTCAGCACATTGTAAAGCCTCAATATGTTTTGGGGGAATAAAGTTATCAAATGAGATATAAAGCATATTGCAAAGAGAAAGGTATTGTGCAAATCTTCAAGGGATTATGTTTGTTTTGTTTTGTTTTGTTTTTTTGCGGTATGCAGGCCGCTCACAGTTGTGGCCTCTCTCGTTGCGGAACACAGGCTCCAGACGCGCAGGCTCAGCGGCCATGGCTCACGGGCCCAG